GGCATTTCGTCTGAGCGGTCTTTGATTGTCTTAAGAAAGAATCTAGCAAAGCAACGAGTGAGCTTTTATTATTGATTTAAGTCAAAAATAACGCTTACTGAATTGGTTACTGTTAACCGTTTCTGGTATCCCAAAAACATAAGAGTTCAGTTATGTCAGCTCATGGTTTTAGAATTTTGTTGAAAATAGAGAAGACAAATATGAAAAAATAAGGAAGGTAATGGAAGAAAACCCAGAATTCGATTTATATATTACTGAAGGACTGGCTCGGTACAGTAATTATACCAGCTTAGAAGAGAACGATGAAAATACGGAAAGAATTTCATGGTACCTTCGCCTGTAGTTGGTTATCTTTCACTTTTTTATTTTGTCAATTGTCTATGCTGTTTAGAAGGTCTTTATTTTTCAGAGGTTGCTGATTTTGAGAATTGTTAAGAAAATGCATACATTTTCTAGCGAATTAGCGCAGCAAGCGGTTTGTGATTTAAGTACACCGAGCTTATCACGTTTACGAACTGGTCGAGTATTAGGGCAAGAGACGGTCGAGGACACCTGGGGTCCTTCATCTAATTCAGCTATATTCTCCTGTGATACAGCAAAATTTCTCGCCCGTTATGGAGTCGTTTGTGGTAAGCTTGAAAGATACGAATTCTGTTTTATATATCCACACTTCAGAAAGTACAAAACTATGCTTGTAATCTGAAGTTTTTGTAGATGATGATGAAGTTGAAAATTCTGTTAACAGTGAAGCGAAAGTCGGTTGTGTATCAACGTTATATGAGCCAGGGAAATCAACTGAATATCGTCCGGCTTCTGTTCATCCTTTCTCGTCTATGGACCAGAAAAGCAGGGACGAACTATTTTCTGCAGTACAAGCACCGTTTAACGGAAATGGCGGTAGGGTCGACGTTGCGGAGGTACTGCGTGATTAATTCCTGAATGCTTATGATCATATTCAACATATACGGATTCTGCGATAAAAATGGCTTCGTTTCTGTTAGCTTACATTTTTTCAGCGCTATTAAAGCCTGTTTCTGATGAGCTTTTGTGTAGATTTCTTCATCTAATTAGCCCATAAGTCAGTTCAGAAAATAGTTTATTTCTTTAACTAAGGATGACGATGACGACGTAGATTCAGTAAGTTTGATTGATGAGCTTGAACAGCTGCTTGGGGGGCCAGATAGCGAGGAAAACGATGAAGAAAGAAATGATCGTGCGAAATATCGGGAAGAACGAAGTAAGTTTAGAAGAGTAAAAAACAAGGTTTTAATTTTTCGTGTTATGTTACTCTTGTAATTCAGGTTATATTTATGTTCCTTTTTTGTAGGCTTTTGGCCTGTTAGATTTTTCTGCAGTAGTACTTTTGTTTCAAAATTACTCAGTATTAGTGCTTTTCAAGGACTCAGAACCTTTGGCATTCATCGGGACATATACGGAGGTTAACGCATATGATTCACAATTAATTCTGCTTGTAATGTACCATTTCATGCCAACCCAGCCTTTTGTTGTTGTTTTTATTCAGAAATATCCTCTTATTCGAGATGTCTGCTGACTTTACAATTGTATTTTGGTCCTCATTTACCACTCCGCCACTACTCTGACGCGTCTGAGGTGAGGAGTTTTCGCCGAAAGCTCGAATGAGATTACCGTCTATGTATTATTGTTTTTCTTCCTGGTTATTTGTATCAAGGGAACATGAGTTTGCGAAGTCGCTCTCATGCAATTTGTAGTAATGTTCCGCGTTCAGTATCATTGTTCGAGAGTACCGATAACCTTCACGGCGTGGTTGTCTTCAACTCGCAAAAGTTCAAGCTGTACAGTGCTTGCAGTAGTAAGATGAAATTTTGCTTTTGTCTTTTACCTTGCAAGAGGAGCTTATTTTCTACTTGCTTATTTCTCAGAATAAATATTTTATCCACTTGTACCAGATATTCAGCTGTATCTTGAATAAAAGAACATTTAAATTAGGTGATATTTAGTGTTTTATAGGTTGTAATATTTGTGCATTTGTTCTGCTTATCTTTCTGTATTTTTTGAGTCTAGTTTTGTTGTCTACCACTGGAAATGTAGTGCAAGAAGGAGAACTTGAAGGACGGTTTGTTAGGAGTAGTTCGTATTGGTACGTGTTTTTCCTTGTGGTTTTTTGTGACTGTAATGCAGTAAATACGGCCACCAATTTCCTAGGTATTTTCGGTTGCCTGTGCCCCACCGTGATATTCCTGTTGGTTTCTGATTGCCTGATTACGATATACGACTGAAGGAGATAAGCAGTTTTCTGGTCCAGTGAGAAGCTTTTTGTAGCGTATTTTGTTCTTCAGAAGGCAGATGTGAGCTGCTCGAATTACAGACGGGTTTAGAGGAATAGCACTACATGTAATCAGCACTTTCTTTGCTGGAGACAGCTGCGGAGGGATTTAGCGGTTCAAAGGATGGAGAACAGTCGTGTACAAGTTGCTTTTGAGCCATTTATTGGCGCTTCGCCAGCCAGTGGCTTACAGATTTTCCCCTGATTGATGTGTCGTTACTTTTGTTAACAGTATGTATGATTTTTCCATGATTTTTAGATTTTGCAGTGGTTTCAAAGTTTGAGGAGTTTATAGTTTTATAGACTAATTAGGTTTTATTGATAAGGTTGGTGTGAGTGTTGTTGATTCTGAGAAGTTGCAAAGTCGAAACATGCAGAAGTTAAACTGGATCCGTGGCCGGTTTTCTCAAGTTTGTGGGGTTGCTGGAAGTGGTGTCATAACACCTTCCGTAATTATTTGCTTGTTTGGAGCAAATTACATTAGTATTTAGTGTAACTGATTATAATCTAGTGATAAGTTCTATTGCTGGATGGAGTAATGGACTTTTTTGCCTCACGCGTTGCTATCGCCTCTTACGGACTGTACCAGAAATTTCGCTGCTTCATCAACATTTCTTGATTGTCAGCTGCTTGATTTTTTGTTTTTGCCCTATTTCCTTATTTTATTCCGAAAACGGTAGTAATATCAGGTATTGGTATTGTGATGTAGCAAGGCGTTTAAATGATCAGTGAAATCTTGTCTTTAAAAATTTTGGGCTTAGGTATTGGCTGCTTCTGTGGGACGTTTATTTCCCTTATAAATCAATGTCCAAGAAAATAAGGTTTATTGGCAACTATGACATAACTGCAGAAGGAAAATTTTTGTGGGAACTCCTTGCACAGGTTAGGAATTTTGGCGTTGGACGAATTGTAACCAAAAATGAGTGGCTGAGGAAATGGCCCAAACAACCGTCATATATCAGAATCGTGAAGGTACTTTCATCGGACGTCCTCAACTGAATATTTATTTTTATTTGCATGGGAACGCACTGTGCATATTTTTTTAATTTTAACTTAAAGGCGAGGCCTATGATGGATCGATGGCTTCAGAAAGGTACGTTATGGGGAAATTGGACGTTCAGGGGGAGAGATTTGGGCCTTTATGAATTCTCTGCTGATTTAAACCGCTCTGGTATGTTCTTTAGTTGAACTGGGGAACCTTCATAAAAGATCCGCAATTAAGTAGTTACTAATTCAGTTGCTAAGTATTGGGCACTTTTTCTGCACCAAATATAAAACTTTAGGATGAATTCATCTTCGAGTTGCGGGGTTTTAAAGGTTCCCTTGAGTTTTTTGGAGTAAACGATGCAGTGCATTGAACAAACTTTCTTTTGTTCTATTTTTATTCGTTTGGGCTGAGATCTGCACATTTTCTACGCATAAATAACTGTTCCTGATTTCGGCCAACATTCTTTGTGTCTTAGTTTATTATTTTTAGATTGGCGACTTATCCACAAACATGAGGAAGAAGAGTTTACCAAATGCGACAAGCCCATGGGTTTTATAAATTTACCTAGCAGTTTTCCTTTACCTCCATTACAGGTTTTACATATATTTTTTTCAAGTGATTATTTAAAATTGCGCATAAGTTTGAAGAATATTAGATTTCATATGAAAAAGTTCTACTTGAAAGACTCATCATAATAAAGGTGTTACCGGAAAGAAAGTATAAAACGACCTCAAACTTTTTTTTCAAATTATTGGTGATAATTTGTTTTACGTATGTCTGTTGCAGGTTTATCTTTCACGGAAAACTGCTAAAGCTAAAGGGGTTGATGAAACTAGTGTTGCAGAGAGAGCTCCCCTAGATATATGTTTAGATCCAGAATTTGCTTTTCTAAAACCTTTCATTAAAAAGGTGGATTATATAGATATTATTATAACTGTAAGAAATTTCCAGCTTCTCAGTCTAATTTAAAAAAATACATTTTCTGCACAATTTCCTGTCACTAGTATCTAGTCCTCCAGCGGTTATAAAAGGTTGAGAAAAGATTTTTTGTTTGAAAAGCGTTGTTAGGGAGTGAAAGTGTCGTGAGAAGTGAATGCATTAGTGTTAATTAATTAGGACAGTAATATAGTTCTCCCTATTCACTGTTGAAATTATGCACCAGCTATTCATTGCAGCTGCACTAAGGAGGCTAATGGATAGTAAAGTGAGAACGAAGAAAGCTTAATCAGCTCAGCTTTCTTAAGTGACATCTTGTGATTTTCAAAGTGATCTATAAAGTTATTTATTTGTTTACAGAGTGAACCGAAACGGTATGGGAAATCAGTTTACGATGAGGTTGATCCAGAAGTCCTACTAGATCTCTATGGCAAAGAGTTACCGGTAAGAGTTGACACGTGGGATGCTGGGCCTGCTGTCATTGAACATCGATTTGTAAAATCGCCATTCGGCATTGATTCAGAAAATGCTGGTGCTATAATTTAAAATCATTTACTCTTGATGAAAATGAAGGAAATTATGCAAGTGTCCCTCTCTTTTATAGCAATATCACTTCAAATTTGCTTTTAAATTATCAGTATAGTTTCGTTTTCGTCTTGTTCTCTTGTGAGAAATGGCGATGTAATAGTGGTAGGATTCACTGGATTTTTTTTGTTGTTTTTGATTTAGGGCTTTCTTTTCCAAACGACATTGCATAGGTCTTTGTTCCTATTCTTGCACGCAGCTTTTAGCTAATTCAATTAGCTGAAAACAAACCGTGGTCTGTTTTTCTTCTTTTTCTTCAATTGTAAACTTAGGAACTCTTTGTACAGTCCTGTATTTTCTGAAATTGGCAGTTAGAATTGTCATTTTAATCTCAATTTGCTCACTGTATTTAATATTGTTCAAAAATCCTTCCTTCGTAGTAGAAAATTCGGGATCATCGCTCTCTTTATAACAGTGTTTCGTCTTTTAAGGAAGTGAGACGTTTTACATGAGTCTGGCGTAGTGGAATCCAACCAACTGAAATGTTGTTTACTCTTCGTCGTTTTTAGCAAATTTTTTTAACAACGCCTCGTTGCTCCTCTTTAAGTAATTTTGTAAATAGAGCCATATGCTCACTGTATTTAATATTGTTTGGAGCCATTATAGGTATGTGACTTCAAGGATTGATGCAAAGCCTTTGAGTTTTCGAATCATTGTTGCAGAGACAAAAACTTCTTTCATTTTTTTTCCTTTACTGAACCGTGAAGAAGCTAAGGTTGTGTAAGTTGTGGTCCAGGGATCAAGATTGTGAAACTTAAAGGTCATGATGAAAGTACGATTGCCGCTTACAGTGCAGAATAAGGGAAGGAGGATAGCGGGTGACAGTTTGCTGCTTTAAAAAGAACTTATGGAACATTGCACAAAAAAAGGGTAATACAGGTCCCAGCACTATCCAATTTCGGCATCTGAGAAGACTTGTTTTGTTGAACATCAACAAATTGGATGTGGAGGAAATTTTTTTGGTGGGGAGTCTTGTTAAGTTATGGAGCGTCGTTCCTTTCTTGAAATTTTTGGAGTTCCGAAGTTTTTGAAGGAAAAGTTGTTAAGGGCAGTTGAAGGAAATGTGATACCGCTTATAAATACTAACTTCCACCTACTGTTATCTTTGAACCTTGTTCTCAAATATGTTTCACCAAATCAGTTGCTTTTCTTTTTTCAATGCCAATTTTGAGGTCACTGAACCACCAGTTAGCATTTAGCTATTCGACTACTTCCCTTTCGAGGGAAATAAATGAAGAGAATTGATTTTCAAATAATGAAAACCAGACACTAGTCACCCTTTGCTAAATGCATATGAAGTACAGTCGTGATACCGAAAGCTAGAAGAATTCAAGTCCACTCGTTAAGCAGACTCATTAATCACGGTTTTCAAATTTATCTTTTCAGAGTCTGATTCCCTTTGACATGGGAGTCCGACTAGTACTTTTGACCTTCCGTTACCTTTTTGTGCCTCACATTCGTTGAATTCCGATTCCTGCTGCCTCTTTTTTCTGTCTAACGAGCGAAACAGATTTAGAAGCAGGATGAGTAAGCCCTATAAGCACTATAATTTGTTACAGAAATTTGCCTCGAAAGTAAAAACTAAATGTTACCATTGCACAGGATTTCCGTAGAAAGCTATAAAATACAGTGGCTTTACGGCAAAGAAACTAGCGTCAAATACTGGTATGGAGTAAACATAAACTGTACAGAACTCGCTTTCAAAGAAGCTGTAGATGAGTCGTAAGGCTTATAAATTTGTCTAGCAGTACCCTTGGGTTTTCTCTGTGACCACCACCACTCAGTTTTCAGCGATATCATAAAAGAGCACATTACCATAGAAATTTATGATCAAATTTCGTCACTGAGTTAGCTGGAGTATAAGTAAAACCGGATCACTTTTAGTTGCAGAGTCTCAGAAATGCTGCGTCAAATGGAGGTTTTCTGTAGCTCATCCGACTTAATGCTTTTGTTACTGTGGGCACGGTCGAAGTACCGTTTCGTATTTTTCGTATTTCATGAAAATATTAAATCTAGTAAATTATTTTTCAAAAAAATTTACTTTTATTTTAGAGAAAATTTAAATATCTTCCTTTAAGATATAACTTTTCTAGTTTTTTTCAGCTCTCCCAGTTTCTCTGATTTTATTGGTACGTATACTTTAGCACTTTTGCATTTACGGAGGAATTTCCAGAATGGACGAAAAGGGTAAAAGGAAAGTTTACTGCGCAAGAATGAGTTTATAACCCTTTAGAATCACCATGTTGAGCAAAAGCTGCAATTCATCTTCACTTTAGCGCACTCTAAGTTTGCAGCCAACAGTTTCTTTTTTTTTTTTTTTTTTTTTTTTTTT